AAAAAATAACCTCAATTAATCCTCATTTGAGTAACATTCTTTATGAAGGACCATCTTGGGGATAAATCTCAATTATAGAGGACCACCTAGGTAATTAAAACTTATTGAAGACTGATTTGGAAAAATACCTTATTACAAAGGACTATTTTGGGAATAAATCTCAATTATAGAGGACCTTGTGAGTAATTAAAACTTACTGAGGACTAATTTGGGAAAATCCTTTATTACAAAGGACTATTTTGGGAATTTACTCTTTTTTATAATAAATTAATATCGCTATTCCCCGAGTTATTTTGTGAGTCATATCATAAGTTCTAATTATTTTAGTGTATAAATTACAATTTAATATTATTTTTGTTTAATCAATGAGTCATTTAATTATTTATGTTAAGTTTTACCTCTCATAAAATATTAATGAAAAATATTTCTCACTTCATCTTAATCTTTTTTTTTACATGAGTTAGGGATACAAACTAAGAAATGATAAATTGTATGGATAGTATTGATATTAAAAAAATTAAGAAAAACAATAAGTGTGAGTCACACAAATATTATTGTACTAAATATAGTCTTAAGAAAAAAATAAAAGGATATTATTCATGATAATCTATGCTATATATCTTATTTAGTATATTATTTATCTTTAGTTATATACATTATATAAAAACAATATTAATCAAATATACTTTAAACATTATTCTAGTTAATTATGTAAAAGTTTGATAAATTTTTTATTTGAAAACAATGGCCAGAATAAAAAATCGTTATGTGACTACTTTTTAAGCATAAATATACAAATATTTTATCTTTATGTTAGGATTATATTTTAGAATACTCTATTCTAAATTATATTTTGTCATTCAACACTTTAAAATATAAATATCTCAATATTAATAGATTGTGAAAATATTTCTTATTAGAAGTTGTATTTCCTTTACGATTTTTTTTCATTTTAAGAATAAATGATTTTTTCAAATAAAAAACATTCTTCATTTCATAAATAAACTACTCCTTCCACCACCTAAGATCTTCCCGTTAATGAAAATGAGAAGAATATATATTAAATAATATGGGTGCAGTGTAATAATAAAGTAAGTGAGGTTAGTTTTTATATTTTAAATGTTAGAAGAGGTAACTGGAAGATTTATGGTGGATAAATAAAAAGAGCTAATAAGAAGATCTATAGGACAAGGGAAGTATTAAATTAAAATACTACTATGATATGAATATATACTCTGTATAAAACTCTGTATCTCATAAAACATTGATTCTTGATAGAATCTTTGCTTAGTTTCCGTATTATATACTTAAGAAAATTGCACTTTTTAGAAAACTATTATGAAACACGCTAAATCATAAATTGTTTTTGTTAAAATTTTATTTTTTTTAAGTAGGTGATACACATTTCTTATTTAATATCTTATGAATGTTCTTTAGAAAAATGTAACATCTTAAGAGTTGTAACTATAAAAATTAAATTTTTTTATTACTTATAAATACGTACTTATAAGCATACAGATTGTAAATTAATAAACTAAAGTATTACATATTTAAGGAAGTAATTTTTAAATTCTAATAAAAATTCCTTTTGTCACACAATCTTGGAGATATGAGTAACTTAGACGAATTTAAAGAAAGTAAAGTTTCCATATATGAAGTCCTTTTTAGGAATGATTTTAAACCCAATTACTGTGTACCGTCATCATTGCACGTCAAAAAACTACACGTAGACGTTCCACATGTCAAACTCTGGTCATCTGAGTATTAAAGGATTCCGGTGGGCCGAGAATAACGAATAGAATAGCACATAAAATCAACCAATTGCATATAAAGTCAAGATCCACTATTCTAACCAAAAAGATTAAGCCGATAGGTAAATTTTTACCCTTCTAACCACATTAGCTGATATGCAAACTGTTACAGATTGGCTACATCGATCTCCAAAAAAATTCAATTTATTTAGAAAGAAAAAAAGAACCGAGCATGCTAGTGGCTCTCTATGGGCAGATGTAGTTTGTTTGTAGTAGATATGGGTTAATTGGCATTATGTTATTGTAAATGGACTTGGTGGGTTTTAATATATGTGCATTTCGGTTATGAAAAAAAGAACCATGTTCCATTGACAAATACGGGGCATCACACGAAGACGAAACAGCAAGGATAAATGTGTGGGGGGTGGGGGGAGGGTAAATTGGGTGGGGCCGTGGGGGTAGTAAATGAGGTGATGTGAGGGCGGTAAATGAGGTGATGGGAATTAGTGATAAGGATAAAGTTGGAAATTCATTTAAATTTGTTTACTAAATATAGAAAGTGGACAAACTATCCTACTGGTTGTGATTGTAACCTCTGTTCACTGCCCTTGCTTCTCGGTGTTTTGGTGCTTTTGTGATAATGCTGTCTGGACTGGACTCTACAACTCTGTTGGTGAGTTTTGTGCTGCTGTTGTCTGGGCCAAGCGAGGCAGCTACGTGGGTGGGCCATGCCTTCGGGTTGCTGAACTGTCTTAGGAACTGCTGTACTTTGTGCTAACAGCAACTAAAATGGGAAACCATTGTTGAGCCTTGGGCTCCAATGTTTCAACACCACATAAATGTTCCCACCATTTCACCTTTGACCTTGGCTTTCTTTTTGGGCCATGTTTTTTTGCAAGAGCTTTGCGATCTCACACCCGGTCTGATGTGGGATACTAGTACCATTCGTCATGCCGTCCTTGTACGGCCGAGGCTTCCTCTGGCAATTGGCAATGGTGGCTCCTTGGATTATGGGTATGATATTTCAAAATTGGGGGTGAACTTGACGATCCTAGCATTGCTGAGGGATATGTTGATGCAGTGGTAGGCATTGACGCTTGTGACCCTTCGGTTTCGGTGTCTTGATGATTAGCAAAGCTCTCATGACCACGGACGCTTGAATGTTCCAATGATGAAGGATTCCATACCTTCGGAGGCCTTGAGCTCTCAATCCGGTGGTGCTACCTTCGGAGTTTTGATGACGACGGCCCTACCTTTTGATGTACCTTTGCGGATGACGATGCATGATGACGAGGATGGGCCTTGGCGATGGTGATGATCATGTATCTATGTGATTTTCATTTTGCTTATGCTTGTACTTGTTTATTCATGTTTTTTGATTGGGCGTGCGTGCCTTGGCGTAGGTGCCACTCTATTTTTTATTTTATAGGGGTATGCCCCGGTGCATTGTATGTTTACTTCGCAGATGTACTTTGTATTGACTTTTGGATATTAATAATTTACATTTTATCCTTGGAATTTGGTTGCTGGAAAGATGATAGAACAAAAAATACCACTTCTATATTAGGTTTATTAGGGCCTCAAAAGGAATCCCTCTGCTAAACAAGTCAACACCACTTATTGTTTTTAGTTTTGTATAACTATTTAAAAACTCCAACAAGTGTTGCAATATTATAAAACTATATGTTCGTTTATCGAATTCTGACATGCTTAACTTCTCAATAACACTTTTAATTTAAAACATTGGATTATGCATGATAAGAATGAAGTTGAAAGTCGTATTATTTTCTTTAAACATGAATCTTTTTATATAAGAATAAATCTAGAAACATCCAGGTTATTTGTTAGTTAAATTTATTCTAAGTTCTCCTCTTCGCTTTTTAGTATGAACGCTGAAACTTTTTAACTTTAAGAAAAGCATTAATAAGGTTATATGATTGATGTTTTGCTTTCCTTTGAATATCAAATTGACAAGTTGACTAAGGCAAGAGTTCTCTGATTTATTACAAATTTTTAATTAGTTGCTAGCAGACTAAGAGTTCTTAGATTTTGCACTTTTGGGTGTAGTAATGCTTAGTGAAGAATGCTTAAAGGTGTTATCTGTTTTTTCAGTGTCAAACACAATTAAGAAATACTAAGACTTTTTTCGTGTACAAATTTTGTTGAGAAGGGAAGTGTTTACACTGTCACAAAAAAAAATTGTTTTTTGAAATTTTTGTTTTACCGAGTACACCGTATGTTTTTTATGTTGCACACTTGATTATCGTTCATTTGTAAATGAAGACTTTAATGAAGTTTGTTGCGATATTATGTTATGTTGAATTTATTGATATCACATTTAAATTTAAATTTTGATATCTTTTTTATTTTTGGAAGTTGTTCAAATTTTTAAACAATGTGCATTATAAACATCGCATTCTTAACTCAAAGGGGTACACAATTACTGAATTACACATCTTGCTCTCTTTTGTTCTGCAGTGGCTCATTATAGCACGACACGGGTGAAAAGGGGTACACTCCCATTCCCATTGTTGCCGCTGATCGCCATCACGTCTCAACATTTAACGAACCAACTTCTCACCATCATCCCTCCAGGTAAACTTCAAGAAGCGGCGAGCTTTTAAAATCTCATCGCTTTTCATTCAATCTGATTTCCGCTGTTTTATTGATCTGCGTTTAGAGTGAAATTGCTTCCGTCGACGGTCGGATTTATGTCCCAGAATCAATCGAGGGCTGGAAATCGCGATTCTCACCCGCACAGGAAGACCGGAGGAGTCGGCGGCTCTAATCAGTATCGCGGCGGTAGAGAAAGAGGCGGCAGAGGCGGTGGCTCTGCCCCTGCTTACACTCCTTCGTCGCCATCCAACAGAAGGTAGTCTGGATTTTATGATCATGCCCTTATTTAAAATCTGGGTTCCTGTGCTTCTTCTGGTGTAATAATGAATCACAACAACAACAACAACAACAATAATAATAGTAAAATACTCTTTTCCTCCCTCCACTTTCTTGTTTTTGTAATTATGATGAATTGTTTAAAACAACCCAGAGATGAGATATGAACATTGTTGACATGACATGAATGAGTGAAAAACTTATTCCAAGGAATTATTTGATACTCTATTTCTTAAAAAACGAGAGCTTTTATGAAGTGGACAAAAAGGGAGGAGTTATTAATGATTTTTCTTTTTCTGCTTGGTTTTTTTCTGTAGCAGCAACAAGAAGCATAGCAATGCTCAAGGGGGATATCAGATACCAAGTGATTCAAGTGGGAGCACAGCTCGAGCAGTGCCTGATGGTGCTAGGCTAGAACAATCATTAACTGGTATTTCATGCTGTTTCTTCTCTTTTCTTTAGTTTTTGCTAAATCTTTATTATGGTGATGAAGTAAATTTGAGTTAAGTAATGTAAATCACTCCTCTATGGTTGTTGGAATGTTAAAATTTCAATTTTTAAAATCTTTAAACTCTACATTGTAAGAATTTTCTAGAAAGATTTTATCTTTAATTTAAAAAATAGGTGCTTCGTAGCGTGTAATGTGCCTGATATGGCAAGACCGTCCACCATGGAGGAGTTAAATCAAGCGTTAGTTAACAACTGAAAAATGTAGCTTCAATGTAGAAGTTATCAATACACGCGGGCTATCTGTATATCTAAGTGTAGTGTTCAAATTTCGAATGCTCAAAGCAATATGCTTGCAAAATAATGCCAACTGACTTTAGTTCACATTGTCTCTTCCTATATTTATTGATGGTGGGAATATGACTTACTATTTGTTTAGGGTGGTGGTATGAAACCATCAAAGTTTAAACTTTTCCTTTATTAAAATTGAACTCTGCTGTGCTTTTCTCGTTCTTATGGCATTACTGCAGCAGATGTTCCAATTCAACCCTTAAGCACATCTGTAAGTATCCGCGATGCCCCAAAGCAAAAAGTTAACCCAGGTGTACCAAGACCTCCATCTTCCAATGTCCCCACTGGTCCAGACTCTAATGCACCAGCTACTCCTACTAAAGGTTTGGTTTTGGATGGAAAACATTGTGCTAGCCTCTTTCACATTCTATTAGATTTTTCATTTGCTTCATATTGTGGCAACCTGTTGGACCTCAACTGGTTACCTGATTTATATTTGATTGTTTCACTCTAGCAGACGTTTCTGGGCCAATCTCTCTTCAGTTTGGGTCAATAAGTCCTAATTTCATGAATGGGATGCAGGTAATGTCTACTTTCTTGATCTATAAGGTATGATGTTTCTAAATGTCAAAATATCCAAGGCTATATTTGGAACAAGGAACATGGCAGGGAAAGGAAAATGAAATGCAAAGCGAAATGTTTATTTTTCTCGGTTTTGCATATTTTGATTTGTTAGGCCTTTATTATATTCCTGTCCCGCTGTGCACACTATGGCTGGTCACATGAATTAATGAAGTTAAAACTCTGTGGTTATTTAGAAGAGAGAGAACCATTATAAACCACTAATAGTCTAATACTTTCCATAGATGGAAACAAACCCAATAAAATGGAATGGACGAAAAAGGAAAACTTGCACAACAAATTAGGAGAGAGGGAGGGGGGATATATAAACTGATATATTTGGGCTCAGCCTCATCATGGTTCGCCCTATACCCTACACTCCCGGGGGAAGCCGAGGACCTATGTTTAAGCTATATGATCCATTTTGAAGGCCCTTAAACCCATGATCCTCCTCAATCCCTACAATCCAGAAACAACACCAAACCTTAACCATTCTCCCCCTTCTCCTTTTCATCTTGGCCGAACCCATCTTCCCCAAAACCCTACCTCATTCACCCCTCAAGACCATGTTAAAACACACCCAACAAAACCCCCTTCATAACCCTTAAGTTGGTCGAAAACAAGAAGCCAAAACAAACCCATTTACCCCTTAAAACATCCACCCAACAAGGCCCCCACTATGTCCCCTAAACCAGACACAAAACATCCATTACTTAACAAAACACACATGGCACAACTTTAACAATTTAACCACCAAATAAACCACCACACCACATGCCAAAACAACACATGCCAATCCCTCCCACTTGCCTCATGGCCTGGCCGAATACAACCCCCCAAATCAGCCCATCAAAACAACACAAAAACAACCAAAAACCATATTAACTCATGGACCAAATCAACCCCTCTCAGTTTCCCACCCCTAGCCGAACACAACACACCA